GACGGAGAAATATACAACAATTGGAAACTCTACAGCAAAAATATGATGACTTTTATACGATCAAAAATGAACAGATATGCACAAGTAAAAAACTCTTCGGCATAATTGCAGATATCAAAATACAGATTTTGATCGAAGCTGAAAACATAAAAAGAGAATGGAAAGAAAAATGCAATGAATATTGGAGGATATAGCGAGAATACCAAACGAAATAAAAAATCATTACGTCAGCATATCTAGTCTATCTTTACTTCTTGGTAATGATGTGGTGGAGTTATGTAATTCGGTCGAGTATTTCTGTGCAGTTATCTGTTCCCTATATGTTGTTTTGCTTCGGATAATGAGTTAACCAGGCATGTCATTTATTTCGTCCGACCATGCTGGACATTTTAATCTGGATCTTTTTCCACTCCATTGCAACTTTCATGGTTGATTATGATTCAGCTTTTTGATGGTCCTTGTTTCTAAATCGTAGGTGGCAAAAAAATATGAATGCTCGAACAAGTTGTATTTTGAGTTTTTTTGTAATGTCAGTGTTCTTCCATTTTTTGTAAGTTGAACTGTTGCTGATCTGGTCATTGAGATGTGTCGACTGATCTCATCTGTCATTTTCCACTGTTAATGATTATGAAGTCTAAGTACTTCAATTGCTTGACAACATTGTATCCTGTCATGATTCTTATATCTGTTTGGTTGTTCTCTTTCTATCGATAATTATTATTTTTGGTTTTTTTGTATATTTATTTGTAAACCATATTCCGTACTCACCGTGCTCAACTATTTATAATTAGTTTCAGTTCCTTTGCTGAAGAGACCAAATCATGTTGGTTCATCCTTCTATTGTTGTTTCACCTTGCCATTCCTCAAAAACTTAATGCATAATGTGTTTACTGTATATATTATATAGAATAGGGAACATTATAAACTAAATATAGATTTCAATTTTAGCTGTATTATTTGCATACAGCTCTTGTAATCAATAGATAAGATGTTCTTGCGTACTCATTTCCCTAAGTATATGCCACTTTTATCCCATTTAACGTTATTAAAAGCCTTGGAGTAGTTGACAAAGCTCAAATAATATGTTTCTATATTCAAACTCTCAAGATTTTTTATCATTTAATGAATATTATGGATGTGCTTTCTTGTACCTCTACCTGGGATAAATCCGCATTGTTCTTGGGAAATATGTGGCAAGATAATTGCTTTTAGTCTTTCATTAATGATGCAGTTTGTTTAAATAGAATATTAATACTTCTTTTTCAAGTTCCGTTTCTATTGGAAATCATTTTGGGAATTATAACTTTGCTAGTTATGCGCCTGAATAGTTCAATTTAAATGTATCCAAACCATTCACGCTTCCTATGCTTCTTCCGCCTTTGATTTTGACCTGCATTATATTCCTTAATACGTATTTTTCACCTCTTATGATGCACCTCCAAGTATTCCAACTTCCTGATTTTTAGCTGTTCGAGAACTTGTGCGTTTTACGATCCACCCATGATATTTTCAGAATACGTCGGTAAAACCACATTTCGAATGCTTCCAGATCTTTATTGTTGGATTGTTTCAGTGTTCGATAGGCTTTAACCCCATACAAATGGATGGAGAAAATATAATATCGAAGCATTTATATATGGAAATAAAAGTGACCTTACTCCAGTCATTTGGCCCCTTTCTGGTATTCCAGATATCATTACAGATTTTAAGCATTACTTCAATCTCTACCTCCCTTATTTCTTTGACTTTCTCAGCTGTTATTCTATCTTTTCCTTATGATTTTTTGAATTTTAGCTTCTGTATTGCTGCCTTAATGTCTAATGTTTGTTTTTTTTCATAACTTTTTCCCTCTGTATTATTGTTTGGCTTGTTATTAGAGAATAATATTTTGCAATATTGTTTCCACAAAGCTGTGAAATCTTTTGAATTCCTTATGGTATTTACAGCATATCTGTTATTTAAACGCACTGCATCCTCTTGTTCTTCTACGGCTTGTGAGAAGAAATGTTCAGAACATATGTTAAATAACAACTAGCAAATCATGCAATTTTAACTCGCTTATCCACTTTGCTGTTGACAGTTTGTTTACAGTTTACAGATGATTCCCCTAAGCTGTCTTTATCATCTAAACTGTTTTGGTTAATTGAAAAAATTGATGCCGAATTTGAACTAAAGTGAAGATGTCTGACGTGAAGATATCGCAAGCATATGTGGCTCAAACTGTAGCTAGCACCTCAACAGCAAAAAACCTTAGTACTAAAAACTTTGTTGCATGCGCATGACACAATTCGCCATTTTTTGGCATAAAATTTGGCGACCACGCCCTTCGCCCTATTGTTCTAATCTGCTGCCATCTATAGGTGTGTTATGGAAGTAAATTCATTCCCTCTTAATTTCACTTTCTATAGGTTTGAGTATTAGACTCACTTCAAATTATTGTTTGATTACAGAATTATGTTCCAAATTGGCAATCATTTTTTTTGTGTAATTTTTGAAACTTACATTTTTCTGGATATAATGCTTGTATATCATGAAATATTATAAAACATTAGTTGGTACTATAAAATGCTTAAACTGATTGTTTAGGCAAAGTGTTATAGAAAGCATAGAACAGTCATTAATTGTAGATTTGTTTTGCTACCAATATTCTTTACAATACCGTCTTGCCTAAGCGCTGTACAGTGTATAGTACTGAATAACTGAAGAAAAGTGTTCTTTATCGATGATCCATAGGACTGGCGAACTATTGAGACAATATAGCCTTGATCCTGTATAAGATACCATACCGAACCTTGTAGAATTTTTTTTCACACTTTCTTTCACCCGTTTTCAGGGTTTTCCCTAGGACTGTTACGAACGCAGTGGAAAATATTCTATATTTTGTTCCTGCCTTAAATGACTACTTTTTTATCACAGTAAAGTGCTTCGACTGTTTTTAAAATCTTTGTTTTTAGATAGTAGAGGTACAATTCGTTTGAGTAATTCAACGTGAGTTTAAAAAAACAAAATTATAGATAAAAATAAGAAAAGAAAAAAATTAAAATATAGAAGATAATGAAGAAATAAAAGGCAAGAATGGCAGAAACATTAAAATAAACCTCAAAGTCTTGTATATAAAAATATTTGTTGAAAAAACTGAAGTATTTTCAAAAACCTTCACTGTTTTGGAAATTTTTCGAAATTTTAAATATTCAAAAGATACGAGTCATTTAAATAATTCAACAAAGATTTAAAAATTATAGATAGAACTGAAAAAAAAGTAAAGTATATCAAAGAACTCAAGAAAAAAGTAGTTAATACGTCATAAATTATATCTCAGTTTTCATATCAAGAGGATTTTCAAGTAAAAACAGCTACGGATGTATGAAAATAATATTTTCATATCTAAAACCGTTCGTCCATACATTTTTTTAATCCTTCACCGACGAAGCCTAATTGCCTCGACAATTTACCGTTAAGAACAATCATAAAATCTATAGCTACGGCCAACATATTGTTATTACAATTGAATCAGTTTGGTTAAAGTATAAAACAATCGATGCCTATGTACGGTAACTTGATCATCAGCGCCGAGCTGTCTGATGGATACCTAAGCATTCAGCATTCACTTGTTCTTGACTCTTTCTTTGACACGCAAAATCGAAAAAAATCTACAGAAAGCGAGTGGACATATCTACAAAGAATTGTTTATAGTCAAGATAATACAGAATATTTATGATAAAATGTGAATAAATAATTTTTTAATGGTTAACGTGCTCAAATTTAGTAATATAAGTGTAAAAATGTATTTTATTTAATCTATAGGTGGAACTGGATACCCAATATTTACAGATTCCGTCTAAATTGTCTAAGATTTAAGTTAAATCTATCTTTTAAGAAATTTAAAATTCTTTTGATGTAGTTTTCAATTGATTAAACCGCAAATTTTTTGTCTTGCTTTTACTCTGCCTTTTTGAGTTGGTAATTTTTGAATCTTTTTGAGTATAATCGAATGGTTTTTAACTCTCTATTGACAGGTCTTTCTTTTTTGAATTTTCTGTTCATTATTTCCTAGTAAAGTCTATTCATACATTGAATTGTTATATAAAAACTATTAAAACATTTAGGAAGAATGGAATAAGCTTGAAAACTGTAGAACAAATTTATAATACCAGAAGAATAAGATTCACATCTAAAACTGTACATTGAAGATACAAATTGAAGATACATTAATCAGTGTACAGAACTACAAGCAAACAAGGAAGTACCTAGTCGTTTTCCTGTAGAAAAATGTTGGAAAATACTTTAAAAACATTGTCCACAATTACCCATTTTACCATAATACCATAACATTACTCATAAAAACATTAGCCGCGTGGAAAGCCAAAGATAGACTGATTTAACGTAATGGTTTTAATCAACGTTTTTTCAACTAATTAAAAAAATCAGTATAAAAGAGAATTAATTGTTTTAGGATGGGCACTATAAGCAAAGAAAAAGAGAAAGTAGTATAAAATTGTGAGTGACGATACCCCAAAAGAGTTAAAGAATTGGCAGTTAAAAATATGGAATGAAGACGTGGTAAGTAAAAACCAAAAGAGAAAAACCTTCATACTATTTAGATTTATCTGTTATATTTTTTCAAAGTTGAAAAAACTCTGAATGAAAATCTAATTTTCCTAAAAAAATATGTTTAACAAATTGTTTGTGTGTACGTTTTGTCCTGTTGTCCTTTGTTAAACTGAAATTTTAGCACTCAAAACTTTAAAATAATATTATAAAAATATTTTTAAAATCAGGGATGATTATTAGAAAGTACGTGATTCCTGTTGGAATTGTAGCTGGGACAAAAGACTCTACGTCAGTCGTAACAAGTGATAACAATTATTGAGCAAGAATGAACTTGTTTTTTCTATAATTCATAATTATTTTATATTTTTAAATAAAATTGAGAACACAAAATTATATTTTTAAAAGAACGTGATAATATATTGTAAATTTGTTATGATAATTAAACGTACCTTTCAAATATTATAAATAATCCTAAATCCAATGTCTTTAAACCGTTAAGTTTACCATCTCAATGGGCATGGGTAGCTCGAACTGTCAAAAAATATCACTATAATCCACCACAAATCGAAAAAACCAACACGGACACATAACAATCACTAAAAACAACAGTGAAGAAAGTTTGAAGTAGGAAACGCACTGATCAACTATGTTAGGCGTCTTATACTAGACTGATGATGAGATGAGAGATTTCCACCCTCTACCTGTTGGTACCTGAGAAGGTGTGGGGTCTGAGCTGGCCAATCGGGGCGTCGCAATCCGCTTGACACGTGCTCTGACAATGACTTAAGTGGGTATTGTCAAATACTATTGTACGCTCTCGCTAGAAGTTTTTTATGAAAACAACCACACAATCCAGGGCCGGGCAAATCGAGAGGCGACCGCCCCACGGGGCGGTTATGATTTTTCTACCCGGCTAAAAAAATTTGTGGAATTTGTGGAAATTGTATATCGACTTTTTTGGTTAACAAGTTATTTTTTTAGCACATAATTACGCTTCGATGCGTGTTGCATTTTAATCCAGGGAATTAAGCAAATCAAGTAGCCTATTTGAAACACTGGCCCGGTCAGACAAATGACAGTTGTTTTGAGTAGTATAAACCTCTCTAACAAGAGCCTATATGTTTCCTGCAGTCGATTTTTGGACATAATTAGTTATTAACAAATTATGGTCAAAATCAGTCAATTTTTATCTTTTTTTGTCTATCAGCAAAAAGTGATGCATATACTATATAAAAACCTTCAAAATGGGATTTTTAAAATGTTTATATCCCTATTTGTTGCTTGCAAAATTGCCAAATAAATCAAAAATTTCGGTTTTTTATAAATGTTAATAATTTTTTTAAAAATGAAATTTGAATTTTCATATTTCATAAAATATTGTGTCTTAGTGGTGCTTTATCACTTAGTGGATTTTCTTCATGACTTCTCTAAGAGTAGAATAACCAATTGTTGTGTCGTCTCCAGATTTGGAGTCAACCTCCGGGATACATTTCTCAGGTGCGGGTCAAATTCTATTACCATCCAGAAGACCAACCGGCCTGAGAATGGAACCATTATTCCAATAGGAGAGTTGACTCCGAGACAAGGAAATCCAAAACTACCAACATGGCTTGCTAACAACCAGAGCAGAAAAGACCAGGATAAAACTTAGGATTTGGTGACAAAAATTGTTCTTTCATATACCTAATGTAACACTGTAGCAAGAAGTCGAATAATTTTTATTTAAATTCAATACGATACTTAACATTTATTTTTCTGTTTTTTTTATATTTTAATAAACATGTGTTAACTTAACTGTGTATTGTTTCTTCTTTTTACTTGTTTGTGTGTGTTGCTCCAGAGTAGGCCATATTCACGTCCTGAGTGAGCTAGCCAGGGAGTGTTTCGCATAACGTCTAATGTAGCAATTTGCAATTGATACATTAGGGGTTATGACGTTAAAAATTGGTCCCAACGAGAAACGATTTGTCACTCCAACGTTGTTAGTGATGTTAGTCAGGTTGTAGCAGCAAACTAGGGTTTGCGGTTGCAGGTTGACAACAGCAGCTCAACGTTGGGATGTTACAAATTGAGCCTCGAAGGGTTACAAATTGGCACCCAATGAATATTTGTTGGCACGTCATAGATTGACGTCCAAGGAATGTTCGTTGGAACGTTACAAATTGGCATTTGGTATTAACGTCATAATATTATGGTAGTGTACTTTACAAATAAAAATGAGAATGAAAAGTAATTTATTACGTTATATGTTTTATTTTTGTAATAGTACCTACTGGTACTTACAATGTTTTGTTTTTCAAGTTTTTCGCTTATGTGGAACGTCTACGAATTCATCACTTTATAGCCTCCCATAAAATTATTAGATCCTCCGAGATATAGCAAACTAATCACCGGCATCCTTTGGTTATCGGTAAACTCATCACCGCAGATAGAACAACTCATCACCAGCATTTTTGCCCCAAGGTGCTGACTTCTAATGCTGAAGATTGTCTGTTATCTGCTACGCTTCTCGTTTATGTGGTAATTTTTTATGTGGCTTAAGTTCTTGGATTTTGCGAAACCAACTTTAACTAACCAGTCAAGTGAAATAAGTACTTAATTCGCTTCGCAGATTACCAAACGGCAATTACGGCCTTGTGAATCGAAATTTTAAAATTAGTCACAAGTCTTGATGGAAAAGAACACAATATAAAGGACACGCAATACCAATTTAATAAGCTATGGATGGTAAATACTTGCAACAAAAATTTTGGGGCATATTGAAATGTACCATCCATGTAATATGGCTCTGCTTTTGCCAAGTAAGGTAAACTCTCCAGAATCCCAAAAATAATAATATTTTATTGCGAATCGTTATGCAATATAGAACATTTATCGTGGTCCATCTTTAGATCCATCTGTCGGATTGCTTGATGCGCTTTCCCATTGTCTTTGATACAGGTGGCATAAAAGACCTTCGTTGCTCATATTCCTCCTAATTCAATAGATCTCCATTGTTGTCAGGCGTTTTTTGAAAGAATAAGTTGCAATCTTTTGATGAATGATTTTTGATGGCTTCTCTGATAGGTCCTCTTGCTCTCTGATAGCTTTTATCTTGCCGGAATTGCTGATGACTTAACGTGTTAGTTTTCGAAGGTCGCTTACGTGACGTGTTAGTTTTCGAAGTTGATTGTGTCCCAAGTGGCAATGCAGAATATGTTCCGCAACTAAAATAATTATAGAAATGTAAACACAGACAAACTGGACTTTATTTTATAAAAAAAAGTCTTATTTAATTTTAAGATTTTAATATGTTCCTTGCATATTTTTATGTTTTATGTGAAAATTTACTTTATTGAATTATAAAAATTGATCCGTTTATGGTTAAGTGAAAAAAATATTTGGATCTTTAGCTGGTATTATAAGAGTACAACTGCAATTCTACATAGAAATTAGTTATTTATACTAAATGATTTTTCAATCCAGGCAGTTTGAATTTTTAAAAGTATTAAAAAAAAATTCAAAAATATATAGCACGGGAAATGTAGATAGAGTATTTCTTAACAATCTTTAAAGAACAATATTGACGTACATTTGTGTTTAGACTTAAACTTCTAGACTTAAACTGCCGTTCACGAAACATGGAAATTGTGTCAAGTAAGAAAAATAGCGAAGTTCTCTAGATTTAAGTGGTCTACCACCAAAAATTATTATCGGCTATACAAGATGTTGCATGATTTAGGTTGTTTTTGATAGAACATCACCTTTAATATTACACCAATTCGCACTTATTATTATTACCGTACTTTTCTCAAATAGATTTCTCAAATATAAATTTTTCTTTTTGCGTAGTTTTAGGTAGCAATCAATAGCATTTTGTGGAACTCCCAAATAAAAACCAATGAATCGCATTTGCATTTAATACCTATTTAAGATTTATTCTGCCAAATTACCAAATCTTAGCGGTTTGCAAGGGGTTTATGGTCTATACCTACCACGGGGTGCAGGTAGGGCAGTGATAAGTTTACCAATCTCTTGGGGTCTATTTTAAAATTCTTACTTTTACGGTGGTGATAAGTTTGTACTATATACGAGGGTATTTATGCTAATTGGTGAGGAGTACGTGTACCCCTTAATTGTAACTTACGCTTTATGTTGAGATAGTTATGATACTTCCTACGTTCAAATTTAAAGCATTTACGTTGCCTAAGATTGTCAATCGTGTTTTATTTGGCGAGAATCAATAATACATTACAATTATTAAAATTATACATTTATTAAAAAAAAGTTTTCATCAAAAATCAGCATCACTTGTATCTTCGTTATCTGTTTCCATCAAGCAGTCTGTAATACCACCACTGTGGGGTAATACTGGGATAACACCCTTATCACAATTGTAGAGCTTTTGGAGGGCGGTATTATTATTACTTTTGTTAGGAATTCTCGGTCCTAACAAAAGCAATGAAAGAATTTAATATACCAATACAGCTAATAGAATTGATAAAAGAAACACTAAAAGTAGAAAGTAAAATCCGGATACAAAACGAATTAACGGAAACAATAGATTTGAAGAAGGGACTACGCCAGGGAGACGCTCTATCATGCATATTATTCAACATCATACTTGAAAAAATAATAAGAGACACAACAGTTAATACCCGAGGAACAATAATTAATAAAAGCGTGCAAGTACTAGCATTTGCAGATGATGTTGACATAATCGAAAGATCAAGAAGAGAAATGATAGAGGCATTCACTCAAATAGAACGAGCTGCAAAAAATAGTGGTCTTAAAATCAATCAGACAAAAACAAAATATATGCCTGCAAATAAAAACGTACAAATAAGGCAGCTGCCAAATTTAACAATAGGAGAATACAACATTGAGGCGGTAAAAAACTTTACATACCTAGGATCCCTAGTTACGTCTGATAACAACGTTGCAGAGGAAGTGAAGAGGAGAATATTTATTGCCAATAAATGTTACCATGGCTTAATTAGGCAACTAAGATCAGATAACGTCTCCAGAAAAACAAAATGCCAAATATACAAAACCTTAATAAGACCGGTACTCACATACGGTTCAGAAACCTGGACACTCTCTAAAAGGGAGGAAACGTTATTAGCCACCTTTGAAAGAAAAATCTTGCGACACATATATAAGGGCACAAACGAAAACGGGATTTGGCGGAGAAGGTATAACTTTGAACTATACACATATACCAGGATCCGGATATCATAACATTCATTAAAATAGGAAGGCTACGTTGGATTGGACATGTGGAAAGAATGGAAGAAGGCGAAATACCAAACAAAATATTCAAACAAGTGCCAGTAGGAAAAAGAACAAGAGGAAGATCGAAGCTGAGGTACGTAGAACAAATAGAAAATGATATAACAACATTAAAAATTAAAAACTGGAAAAAAGAAGCACGAAACAGGTCAGAATGGAGTAGAATCCTTGAACAGGCCAAGACCCAAAAATGGTTGTCGAGCCAGTGATGATGATGATGATTATTATTACTACGACTACGGCGTTTTTTTTAATTTCCTGCAAATTTATTGTATTCAGTTGACTTTTATCAAAGAATC